CCATACCGTACGACCACCGTACGCGCGGACCGTACGTGCGAAAAGAACACCGCAGATTTGAAAAAAACGCAACAGATTTTGAAAAAAAACACATCAGATTTTGAAAACAACACAGCAAAATTTGGCACACACTTTTTCCGCACAGTCCGCGAGTACGGTTCGCGCATACGGTGCGTACAGCGCGCGCGCACGGTGCGCGCGCGTGCGGTTTTCGCGCGCGCGCGCGCGTGCGTCGCACGTACGTACACGGCGCGCGCGCGCGCGCGTGCGCGCGCCGTGCCGTACGGCCACCGTACGCGCGGACCGTACGTACAAAAAAACACAGCAGATTTTGAAAAAAACACAACAGATTTTGAAAAAAACACAGCAGATTTTGAATAAAACACAGCAGATTTTAGCGCACACTTTTTGCGTACAGTCCGGGCGTACGGTTCGCGTACGGTACGTACAGTGCGCGCGCGCGGTGCGTACGTACAGCGCGCGCGCGCTCCGCGCGTACAGTTCGCGCGCGCGCGCGCCCGCGTACACACCGTACGCGCGCGCGCGCCCCGTACCGTACGGCCGACCGCACGTGTAAACAATCACAGCAGATTTTGAAAAACCGCAACAGATTTACAAAAGGCAGCAGATTTTGAAAAAGAACACAGCAGATTTTGGCGCACACTTTTTGCGTACAGTCCGCGCGTACGGTTCGCGCACAGCGCGCGCGTACGGTGAGCAGGTACAGTGCACGCGTGCAGCGCGCGCGTACGGCGCGCGGGCGCGCCCGCGCGTATAGTTCGCACGCGCGCGCGCGCAATGCGCACACACACGCACACACCCGCACGCTGCGCGCGCACGTGACACACTTGTTCGCTGAGGGGGGGGGGGGGGGGTTGCAGACGATGTGTGTCCATGGGCACGTATACATTTTTGGTTTTGTACGGCGTTATGGCCAGACCAGCTGATGGCATTCCACTTTGCGTTTCTTTCTTCAACACACCGTGTCGCCAGAAATACAAGTGTTGCGTCGGCAGCCTCAAAGCGTGCGGTAGCTGTTGATGCGTGAGAGCCAGTCTGTCACCGACGCTGAGAACTAAACGCAACCTCCAGCACCACTTGGCGGGTGGTTTATTTGGCCCGAGAACTTGCACTTGTACTACATTGTACCACCCGTCATGAATCAGGTACACGATTTTGCCAAATCAACATGCTGCTCACGCTTCACATATTGATTTGGTAAGTTTCAGACTAGCTCACCCGAGGCAGCGCAATAGTCGCACGCATGTCGCCAATTTCTAGTCGTATGTGCGGAAGGATGGAAACAATATCAGAACCCATCGTGCGAATGCCAGTCAAGCATCAAATAAACCAATCAAACGTTATGGTTTACATGTTTGGGGCCAGTTTGTGCGTGTTGCGTCCCATCAATGTTTCATCATTTCAACGTTTCATCATTGGTGGCGCAGGATTTCGCCCAAGCTACATATGAGAAATACTATTGACTTGGTGAAGAAACTGCTGGCCCCGCAAAAAAGGCAGCGTCTGATGTGGCAGGCAGACGCTGGGCCACGGAGCTTGAGTCACATGCAATGTTTCATCACACCCGCTGTCTACCTTGCGCTCGGCAATGCGCATTGCTTGCGTAATGCAACAATGTGGTGTCAACTGCCAACCAGGTTTCCGCCAGGCAAGCATTTTGAAACAACAAACCACACTGACACTTTGCATCTGCGCAATGATTTGTTTGTCCGGAGGACTGAACACTGCACCCAGTGGTGGTTGGTTTAAGCCAAATATGTTGCCGTGATTTACTCATCTTAGGCCTTGGGATTTTTGCCTCAGCTATCTAGTGTCGCTGTCAGTTCAACTTCAGCTAGTGATGGCTGGCGTGTCATCTGATGACTCATACCTGCAGAATCATGTGATTTGAACGATGCTGCCGTGCTGTACAAGGGCCAGTCAAAATTTCGCATCTCGCAAGCTACTACTTGTGTCGTCAATCGGCAGGTGGTTTCCACCCAATTATAGACAGCTGTTTGTTGCGCGCCGGCTCACACGGGGCAACATCTAGCGCATGAGCTACTGCAAGCGGAAAGGCGGCAAGCTTCAAAAACCAAACACTCATGGCCCATCTCAGGATCGTCAAATTACCGGTGCACTAATTCACTGATTCGCAGATCCGATTCGCACGCAGTCGGGTAGTGTTCCTGGGTTGCCTGAGTCCGAATCCGCGTCCGCAATCTACAGCTACGGGAAAACCTTCGCCGCGCCCTACGGCCCTATATTGTTAGTCATCGTGATTCATGCGACTCATGATGTTGAGCACAATGGGACTGGCCGACCGGAACCATGCGGTGGCCCCTTCCAAGGTAATGCTGGGCTACCTGCGACACCCAAAAGGAAACAAGATTGCTTGCGCGCCAGACGCTCGAGTTTGTTTGATGTGAGGCATGAGCCACGAGTCATGTCACGAGTCATGTCACGAGTGACACTGACACTGGTCATGGACCAATCGGTGCGACGCAGGTCAAGTAGCTATACATTACATCATGACTTTGCTTGCGGCGATCTTGCAAAGTTAGTTTGTTTAAAGTTCACTCTGTCAACCGTCAAGAGTCAAAAGTGAAGTTTCCAGTTAAAGTTGAAATGAAGGTGGCACCAGTCAACTATTGCGTTCCCACATGTTCACAGGTGCTTCTCTCAGCCTCTCAGATCTCGCACGCGTACACCCGGTGCACCATAGGAGGCACCGCGGTGCTTCTGGCAAGCCACCAAAGGAAAGGGCCCCCCGAACACCAGGGCTTGTTGCAGAAGGGCGGTAAAAGAGTGGCAGTGACTGACATTGAGACTGACATCATCCTCAGGAATCGGCGGGCTTGTGCCCGGAACAATCGTGGCCAACTTCATAGACACACGCTGCTTAAGCTGCTTAACTGACTGGGGCCTGAACGCACAGTGCGCAAGCTTCCTATTTGACCATATTTGGCCAGCGCAGAGGCTTGCGGGCGCGTGTCAAACTCATATCAATCCGATCCTGATCTGATGTCCAAAGACAAACTGGGCCAAAACTGCTATTGGCGCTGAGGGTGAGTCAGGCTCATGATTGATCCATCACGCGACGATTCCTGATTCATGTCCTTTCTTCCTGACTCATGGCTGATATAGAAATAACCTGCTACGGCCACAAATTGCCAAAATGCAAATATACTCTGATGAGATGATGACACTCATGGGTGGAGCAGCCCCAACTTGTGACTTGCTTGACTCATTCGACTTGCGCTTGCAACTGGTAATGCTGGTTGGAACCTGCAACTTGAAACACATGTCACTCCATCTTTGGATGAGTTTTGCTAGGAGCAACCTTGAACTTGCAACACCTTAAGTGTGGATCCTGGGCAATTTTTCGTCGATCACCAGTGGTCGACTTCTTCTGTCTTTGAGCTCGAGCGATGCCCTCATCTTGCGTCGGTCTTGTTACTGTTTGCGTATAGCGCCGGCTCCGACCAACTCTTCAAAACCAAGCAAACGCCCTGAACCAGCTTGAGACTCTTGGATTCGCGCGCGCCGCCGCTCACTGCTCGCGCGTCGCTGGCTCGTTGCACGCTCGCCGCGCGCATTCCGCGCGTGCCGCCGCGCACCGCTCGCGCGCTGCTCGCTCATTGCGCGCTCACCGCGCGCGCGCCGCGCGCACGCCGCGCGCACGCCGCGCGTACACTGCGCAAAGCGCGCGCGCGTGACCGCGCGCCCTCGCCGCTACTGTTTTTTAAGGCCTGTCATAGCATGACTCTCGGGTTTAGATAAATTGTTTCATTGGTATTTTATCTTATTTTAGATCCCAATTTCATCAACCCCCTTTGGAGCGCAATGTCCTTGTCCTCAAATGCAACACCACCTTGAGTTTTCCAGAAGAACCGCGAAAACAAGGCAAGATCTCAGCCTTCTAATCTATGAATTCGGCTGGCATGAAGGGCAACAAGCTTCAGTGAACTACCACGAAGAAGCGAGCAAGTCAACCAGGATATTTTTGGTGCAAAGATGTAAATCGAATTGATAGAGTTTGCAAGTCTATGATGGTTAGCCGGATTCCAATATATACTTCATGCAGCTTGACAATGTATTTAAAAGCGCGCTCCCGCGGCGTCCTGCTCTTGATTGAATCCTTTTCCGAAAGAGGGATGCCTAGGTTCAGAGCCGGGAAGTTACCACTAGCCCACTAGCTTCAGAGATATGTGTGGAAAGGTTGCCAGGGTCACTGCAAAAGGGTGAGCCCGGAAGCAAGGCACAAGGCCAGGCAGTCCCCTCAAGGACAGAGGGCCCAGCGGTTTTGGGTAGACCGCTTTAGCACCTGGTTTGCATCGTGACTCTTCAAGACGAGAGAGAGAGAGAGAGAGAGAGAGAGAGAGAGCTCAAGCAGTTGGCTGTCACCCTCCAGAGGCTCCCAGCGCCCAGAGCAAAAGCTGTAAGCAAGCAGGAAGCACTGGGAAGCATGCACAAGACGACCAAAGCTGACCAATCTAAGACGGCTTTCACTACCCCCAAACCACCCCACGGGAAAGTGGGGTTTGGGCGGTGTACCAAAGCTACACCAGGCTGAAAGTAGATGCACAATTCCCTTTGGATGCTTCAACCAAGATGGGTGGTTGGAATCATGCCATGTACCGCTCCCTGGGTCCTGGTTGTGGGATAGTGGAAGCCATCTTGGAAAGACAAAAGGCGACAATCCTGCCCTATACTTTCAGCAAGTCGTGGCTGGCAAGGGATAGTGTCTTTTGTTGGCTACAGCCAGGTTTTTCTTTGGGGGGGCTACCCAAAGTTGGGTTTTCGCGACACCATCTTGGAAAGAGGACCAACCACGACCAAAGAGGTGACCCCCAACGGTTTCTAGTAAAAGAGACTTCTAGCTTCCAAAGGGCAGTCATCCTTTTTCCCGCGTCCGATTTCGGAACCCACCTGTCCAATCGAACTGCGTGCCACTGGGCCGCCCGTCACCTGCTCGATTTCGCCGAAAACCGTCGCAGGCATCGGCGTGGCCAACCTCGGGCACTGCCACCCGCGGGTCGTAGAGGCGGTGCAGCAGCAGGTGGGAAAGCTCTGGCACGCCCAGGCGCCCGGCAACCGGCTTCGATCGCGCGACTGGCGTTGTCGACCCCGTTGGCTACAAAACGTTAACCTTCGGATGCGTCCGGAGCACCGAGCGGACAAAAGGCGGCAGGCAGTAGACTTCTCCCGATGGGGGGGTTACTGAGTTATAACTCCGGTTAGTTTTAAAGGGAAGCCAAAAGGAAACCAGCCAGTTTTGGGGGTCTCCTTAAAGAACCTACAACTCAGATAGCGTTGCGCTGACCAATTGCCGGGTTGGAAGATTTTCGCCGCGCTTGTCCAAGTCTCCAGGTGAACATTGCGCATCACAAGCAGATGCTGGATCTCACTGAGAAGCTGGAGATGCTTGGCAAGAAGACCCAAGTCATTGACGAAATTGGTTGCCCCCTGTTGGTTTGGGAAGGGCATGGGACCACCCAAGCTTCCCAATAAAAGCAGGGGCGCCAACCAAATTTTTATGGCCTTGTGGGGAAGCCAGTATCTTGTCTGGGTTCACATGCTGTTGGCGATTCGTCTAGCCTAAGTAGATGCTGACTATGAATTTTGCTAGCACGGGACCTGGGGAGGTTCATGTTTGGCACTCAAAGAATTCATAGGCACATTGGAATCGCACAGATGGAGACCCGCATTCGGATGTTCCGCATGCGCAGGACATTTGATGTTTGTCTCTTGCAAAAATCCACTCTCAGCTGCTGTACTGTTTCCAACCATCATGGAAGCGGAGGTGGAAAGGGGAAAGGAAATTCCTTTGTGGGTGATTTGAAGATAAGCGTTTGGTTGCCAGTTGCTATTGAGTTTCTTCACGTGGGGTGTTTTGATTCTTCAAGAGAACAGACAGACACACCCTTTTGGCTCAAGCTGGGCTCCCTCCCTTCTGGGCATACACAAAAACACTCATCCCGTTCATCGGCTTTTCCGGGCGATTTTTTTTCTTTGCGTCCTGGTTAGCCAAGTTGCGATCGCTTGTTTCAGTCACTGTTGCTGGTTTTGGGGTAAAGTGACTGGAAAAAAGCGATCGCCACTGGCGATCCAGGGTGTTTGTTTCGGTCGCCAACGAGTCGAGCCGAGGAAGGTGACGCCAAAGGGCCTGGACTCCTTCCTCTTCGTCACCACCGGCTCCGAGGCGGTGGAGGCCGCGGTGAAGCTGGCCAGGCGCAGTCGAATTCGACCTCGCGCGCAGCGGGGGGGGGGGCCGTGGCTCGCTGGCTTCGGGGTGGTGTCTCCCTTTGCCCTCCAAGGGGTTTTCTTCTGAGACCTGAGGGGTCCCAATCGCGATGATTTGAGGTGAGCTGCTTTTGGGACTGAGGTTTGGTGGGGATTTATTGGGAACGCTCAAATGCCCCATCAGTTCGGGAGAGGAACCCAAGATGTTGAACAAGGGCACCCCTTAGCCAAAGACACCTCCATATGTGAGCAGTTTCTTTGCGAGCTTCCCCGAATGTCATGAACGCAGGCATGCAACCAAGAAGCCCAACGTCATCGTGCCCCTTGGATGAAAGGCAGCCGAGTTGCCAGTTGGATGCGGTCCGAGTTTTTTGAGGGCACCCCTTTTTGAAGAGAAGCCAACTCAGGCCGCTCAGTTCCGGTCTCATTGCTTTGATTCTTTGTGAAAACCGACCTCCAAAGGGCCACAGTTGTCCCCCCTCAGCTTCACCTTTTTTGAGACCAAATGATTCGTCCACCCTCTCCCGCCCCGGGCTGAACATTCTCGCAGACCTGTGGCCATGGTCAAAAGCTAAGCCCGACGAGCTCGTCACTCGAACGAAAGGGGTGCCGTTTCTAATTTGGGGGGACCACCAGGTTTTGGTGCTTGGTGAAACCCAAAGGCAAATCAGCCATTTTGAGGGTCGGGTTTTGCGACCAGCCAGAGCCAATTTTTCGACAGTTCCATTTTTGAGTTGGTTGCCCTTTTGACCTTTGAAAAGAACCCGGGGGTAGCCGAAACCCCAGTCCTTTCCGTTCGTCAGGTTTCAAGGCGGCTACCACGGCCGCACCTTGCTCACAATGAGCACGGGCCCCGGTTGGGGTTGGCAAGCGGCAGGCAAAAGGGCGAAGACTCGCGGAGTTTTGGGAGCTCGCAACAAGGGCGGGGCAAGCAACGTGTTCTTTGAACCGCTTTGAACTGCAACCCTTTCAATCCCGAGCTGAAACGCGTGATCGGCCTGTCGACTCCCGATGAGTTATTGGGGATAATCTAGGCTCAAACACGGCGGGACGAATGGAACTGCTTGCCGCCCTTTGTTGTTTTTTCTTGAGGCGGGGCATCTTGCAGGATACGGACCTGAAACACACCTGTTTGTCTCAAAGAGACCAAATCGTCGCTGTTTGGGTGGATTCCATATCCTTCGAGAAACACCGCTGTTCATGGGGCCAGGCTTAAACCAGCAGGTTCGGTCCTCATATCTTGTATACCTATTGTTCATTTGAGGACATGGGAGACTCTCAACATTTCCTGCACCAAACAGGGGACTCGCACAAAAAATATTGGTAGCAGTACATTTAATCACGCCACACATGGGGTTGTGCTTTTTGAGGTCATAACCACACATTGTTTGGTCCTCTATTTTGACATATCTCCATATAACCATGTTGGCACGGTGGATGCCCCAAGTATTGCAAGTAGGGAAAAAGGGATCCCCTGCAAATTCCCTTGGCGTTGGTTTACTTGCAATATTTGGGTGCTTCTCAAATGGTGAGCCCCTTCAGGTGGTTTGGTTTGCTTTGGTTCCTGAAGCCATCCAGGTGACCGCCTAGATTGCTAAGTTCCTGCTGTTTTGCAGACGCTTTGCCCTACGATCTGATCGGCGGGAGAAACGCCCGTTTGCAGAATCCATAGAGATGAGATGCCAGGCATGACCAGCAGCGGCACCAAGTACCGTGCAGGCTACGGACCGCACGCCGCAGGCGCCGATATTTTGATGCAGTCAATCAATCCGCCAAGCGCCCTGGCCCCTGTGGTTGTGCTAGAGTTGATTTCCCAAAGCTGCGCCCACCCCCATTGGCCATGGTAAGTGGTTCTTCTGCCTGGTTTCATGGGGTTATAGTAAGGCCTACATACACCTTTTTGACCATGTTGGTAGTGGGTTTTGGGCACTACTCAAATGGCCGTTAATGGAGTGATTCGCCCAACCCACAATCAAGTCTGACCCTTGGGTCCTCAAATTCAGCCACAGATATCGAACAGGCACCACGGAAAACCCTGAGACCATGGTTGGCCTCCATGTTTGCTACGAATGCACTCTGCATTTGTCGGGTTGTCCGCAGCCATTGCTTTATCGCAGACCAATTTTTGATCCTTGGTCTGGCACCATGCCTTGCCTGGTGGACTTTTACGTGCCTTGGAAGTTAATCAGTTTAAAAGCGGTCGCTTCGAGACATGCATCGTTCAGGGACAAGCTGCAAGAATCTGTATCAAAATCAGGGCATCCTGGAAATGGGCGGTTTCCTTTTCAATTCGAACAAACCTCAGGGTACCAGCACAAAGAAAGTACGCCGATGCTGGTGCACTTTTGAAAGCGGTGTGGGCTTGTCTCAAACAGGGTCTGGGACCCCAAACTAGTTTGTTTCCTTTGGGTTTAAACCACCCAGAAAGGCGGTTCGCTGGAATCCTAACATAGGGGTTGATCAATATTCCTGGCCCCAAAATGATCATGCCTAGCTTTTTCCATTTAGTGGTGAACGTCATCTTTTTTGGTGGATTCCCTACGGTCACCACATGTTCATGGGACCTTTTGATCAACCCCCACATAGTGGTTGTCAAGTTTGAGGGCAATGGAAGCCAACCATCAAGGCTCCCCGACACATGGCTGTGGGTCAAATCTAATGGGATCCCATTTTGGGGTAGGTGAATTCACCCCCCCATTTTAGTCGGGATTTTTAGTGGGGATTGGGATGTTCACTGGGGGTACAATTTGGATTTTGACCCATGGCCACAAGTTGGTCCTAAGGACTGCCTCCGTGCTTGGGCCAACCCCAAGTCCATTGGTTACCCGCCCTGGAAGAAGGGCAAGCTCGACTGCCCCGGCACCCAGCGGACATGGAAAAAGTTGGCGGCCTTTACGCATTAAGGTAGACCCACACATTCACACACATGTACATATACATATATGTATATATGTATGTATATTTGTGTTTTTGAATGTAAGGGGTTCCCCTGTTCAGGAGAATCTACCCCTCCAAGCCTACCTTTGCGAGTTTTGTTCGAATTGCGTGGAATCTATCAGAACTTCAGAACATGGAACTTTGCAACGGCCAAGTGGGCATGGCCAGCAGCATGCCATCGATTTGCTGTTGCGCGAGAGAGAGAGAGGGAGAGAGAGCGAGATGTGCAGTATGGGCGTATTTCAAAATAGGGGAGCCCCAAAATGCGTGGCGGGCCCAGGCCCTCGATTCGGTTCTCAACAAGTTGGATTTGGTCCCCGAGTTCCTTCACCCGAGGGGTCGAGTCGAATTATCAAGGCCACGAGTACTACTACGAGGAATTCCTCACGAAGCCCATGCACGTGCAGCAGAAAGGTGGGCATTAGCGCCGCTTGGGCCGCACTGATCCTGGGTGTTTCTCATAAAACCCCTAAAGATGCTTGGCTTTCCTTTGGTTTTCCTTTCAACTAGTGAAGAAGAATGGGGGGGTCCTCCATTTTGAGAACCCCTCAACTCATCCCATTTGAAAGCCTGCTGTGGTTGTCAGGCAGGCTGCCAGAGATTTGCTTCTGTCTCATGGGGATGCCTGGGTGCCTCTGTCGTCAGCTTGTGCCTTGTCCCACGGGGCTCTTTCTGTTGATATGCAGAAATGTCACCGAGGATCCTGCTATGCAGACCTGAGACGGCTCGCGACAAGCGACAAAAATGCCGCGCACAATCCATGGCATATCTTTGCTCCCTTGCTGAAATCATAAAGCCCCCCATCGCCGCACCAGCTAACGTGCCTACCATGCCGTCAAGAAAACACAGGCTTGATTCGAGCGATGCGATCGCCCCAGACTCGGCCCCACGCGTAGGCGTCTTTGTGGCGCCTCACCCCTTCTTCGCCTTTCACTCACAGACTAGGCGCGCTGGCCACCACAACCAAATGTGCGAAGGAGTGAGATGTTGATCGGATGTCAGCTTGCCGGATGGAGTCTTGGTCATGACGTATCCGCACTGATCCTAAGGTCTCTTATGCACCTCACGTTTTGGACATATCGCAGGCTAGGCATTCGTGGGCATCCAGATGGCATCCAGCGCCCAAAACCGATGCCCCAGAGCCATGTCAGGTGGGTCTACTTCCTGACTTAATTCAGGTTATAGTAAAGGCTACATAAACCGGCATCGCCATCTTGGTACCAAATGGCATCGCCATCTTGGTACCAAAAGTCAGCTCGGGTTTTGGGCACTTAAATTGATTGAGAGCTCGATGGGAGGGGGGAATCTGATAAGAAGCGGAACCTACAGGGTTCCCGAATGTTTGGTTTCCTTTTGCATTCCTGCAATTACCAACCAAAATCGGTCCACCGTTTGGAAAAGCTCCCTTATGAACCTGATGTGACCCCCTAGTTTGGTGGTTTCACCGCAAACTTTGGTCCTGATCTCAAGATGCCAGCCTCACCAAAAATGGATCCTTTGGTCCCAAAATAAGCTAAGCCGGATGTGCGGAGAGATACCACCAGCTCAAAAAACGCATGGACCTGGCTATTGGCTTCCGATCCAGTCGCCCGGACGACGCGACCTGGGCCGTGGAGCAGTTGGAGGCCGGGCGGCCGCCCCCGGTGGGGAACCAAAGGAAGATGATGCCACGAAACGTATCAGAACCCCCAGGGTCTTGAGCAAGGGGAGGTTTTAGGAGAAAAGCAGGGAAAGCAGAAGGAAAGGCTGCACAATCCTCGTTTTTTTTGAGGCTCAGGTTCCTCTTCAGGTTGGCTGGAAAGGAAATCAAAGGAACGCCAGTGTTGGGCCCCGAAGGGGTCCAAATCCCATTTGGGTGTGTTTATTTTAAAAAGGGGCCCTTTCAAAATTTGTGTCAAACTGGGGATTTGAGTGTGTTAATTTTGTGGGGACCCCCCCCCAAATGTGTGTGTGTGTGTGTGTGTGTGTGTGCTTTGTTTGGCAACATGTGTGTGCGTGTGGTGCAAAGGGTTCTCAAAATGTGTGTCCTCGAAAATGTGGGACCCCCTTTGCAACTCTTAGAACCCAAGTCACGAGTTGCGGATCGCCAGCTGCTGCTCCAGCAGCAGACCGCGCCCAGCGAGACCTGCGCTGTGGTCTTGGAGCCCGCGGCTCGCCCGAAACGGAACGCGCCCGCGCGAGCCGGACGCGGTGAAAAAACGGTTTCCCTTCCACTTGGCCATACTTCTTTTTTTGGCTTGATTTCTCTTGAGTGGTTTTGGTTTCGGTTGGTCTGTGGGTGTAGGGAATGGTTCCGGAATGGTTCCGGAATGGTTCCGGAATGGTTCCGGAATGGTTCCGGAATGGTTCCGGAATGTTTCTGGGGGACCATTTGCCTTGAATCTGTTTGGAGAAGCTTTGTGCCACTATCTGATTGATCAGTGGCTCGGTTGTTCTGGTTTCCGTAGAGTCAACATGTTGAAGGGGAACCCCCTTTAAACCACACAATGCAGAGAGTACTTTCGAGGATGCCACGCAAAAAGGGGCCAGGTGCCAGTGACTTCAGAAGTGCCGAGTTCGTTCGCACCGAGGTGCTCGGGGAGGGAGGCTATGTGCCAGCAGCGCCGGGCTTGCTGCCGGGCCTTCAGCCTGGGTTCTGATCCGAGATTCCAAAACCTCTCCGTTTGGATTTCCTAGGCGAGGACTCCCCAAAAGCACACTTTTGTCGGAAAGGGGATGGGCTTTTCTTAAAAATCAATCAGAAACAACACGTGTGGGCTTCTGGGCAAAGCAGGTGCATACCCCTGAATTTGAGGGTTCGCCCCTTTTACTTGGGTGATTTTCACAGTACCTGTTTGGCCCGCCGCCTGGCTCGCAACGAACACAACCTCTTGGTCCGAAACCTGGTTTGCCTGGTGGCCCGCCCCTTGGCCCGCCACCTGCAGCACCGAAGCAGACCGAAGCCTGCAGCAGCAACGGAAACTGCAGCACATCCAGCTTTGGACAAGACACTGGCATGAATCTGTCATTGATTGAGTTGGTACCCCCTTTTTGGTTGTTTCAAAGGCAGGGAAACCGCAAAGTCGAGGTTGGGAAGACATCTTTGATACGGCCTCAAAGTCACGAATGATTTCTGGGATGGCCGATTTCCCACCCCCTGCTCCAAATCCTCATTATGTTTAGACTGTCATAGACCCGGACCCAAAAAGGAGGTAAATCATCAAATGTACCCTTAAACAAGGGGGTATTCAGTTGGAGTGGGGGGTAGGCATCATAGGCAACCAACCTGATGATTCCTAAGACTTTCACGAGCGATCTTCTCGGACAGACAAAGCATCGCGACTTTGGCCGTGTGACTTTGGCCGTGTGACTTGTTGTTGTAGGCCGTGATTTTGGCCATGGTTTGAGTTGGTACCCACTTTGGGGTTTTAAAGGGACGCCACATGGAACCACATCATGCGAGGATATGGGTGTTTCGTGGATCCTTCCCAGGAAAGGCATCCGCGACTTCTGCGACAGGTTGGGCTCTCGGCTGGGAATGGGAGGCGCTTAGTGCCTCCCTGCCTCCCTCTCCCTCCCTCTCCCTCTCCCTCCCTCTCCCTCCCTCTCCCTCCCCTCCCTCCCTCCCTCCTCCCTCCCTCCCTCTCCCTCCCTCTCCCTCCTCCCTCCTCCCTCCCTTTCCCTCCCTCTCCCTCCCTCTCCCTCCCTTCCCTCCCTCTCCCTCCCTCTCCCTCCCTCTCCCTCCCTCTTCCTCTTCCTCCCTCTCCCTCCCTCTCCCTCCCTTTCCCTCCCTCTCCCTCCCTTTCCCTCCCTTTCCCTCCCTCTCCCTCCCTCTCCCTCCCTCTCCCTCCCTCTCCATTTCATGTCCTTTCTTCCCTTCCCTTCCCTTCCCTTCCCTTCCCTTCCCTTCCCTTTCCTTCCTTTCTGCTTTCCTGTCCCCTTCCTTCCTTCTTTCCTTCTTTCCTTCTTTCGTTCTTCCTTTCTTTCTGTCTTTCTGTCTTTCTTTCTTTCTTTCTTTCTTTCTTTCTTTCTTTCTTTCTTTCTTTCTTTCTTTATTTCTTTATTTCTTTCTTTGTTTTTTTCTTTCTCTCTCTCTCTCTCTCTATCTTGGCTTTCCTTGGTCATAATATTTGTTTGAACATGCGAAAGTTTCGGGACATCTCTACCGAGCTTGCCAAGCATAGCCATGCGCTTGCCACATACTTCCGGGGGTGTAAGGAGCTTTCGCGGGACTTGGGTGCGGCCAAATCCGCCCTTTGGATTCTGAGCCATTCGGGGCAGGCTCCTTTACCTGCCTATGAGCAGCGTCCAAACCCTATTCTCCATTTTTTGGGCTTAAAAGATGCCAATGCCGAAGCAAACTAGCCGAAACTCCTTCTCGCACTTGATGCTTACTTTCGTGCAATCCATAGAGGCCTAGAGAAAATATTGGGAAGAAAACGATCTAGGCCAGAGGACTTCCTCTATCAAGTGCGTCCTTCGGCTTTCGCAAAAATGCACAGGTGTTGTCATCCGTCCGTGATGCCACGTGCTTTGGAAACTTTGCAGGCAATTGCAGACACAGTGCCGAAATCCTGACCGCAGCACCTGGGAAAACATCCGGACGTCCCAAAAATGCTATCTTGATTGATACAGCTTAGACCAAAAAGGAAATGATACTTCGGGGTCTTTGAGACTTTCGGCCTACAAGTGGCGCCTTTGCTCAGGCCGCAATTACCTCCTGCCCCCTCCACCTTTTTAGATGCCGACATGTGTGACTTGGGGTAAGCCCAAGCTTTGGCAGAGATAGCAACCAGGTACAGTGGCAGCCGCATGACCTTCAGCGCACCCATGCCACTGCAGTGCTTTTGCCGCCGTTCCTGATATGGTTTGTTTGCAAGCACACTTGCATGTGCAGCAGAGTTTTTTTGGCCAAGTAGGGTTCAAGTAGGGTTCGGCCTTGGCTTAGCCAGTTGTCCTCCCTTTTGGGGTGTCTTGTTCGTTCTGTTTGTTTTTGGGCTGGGTAACCCGCTAAACCAAGGCCATGGCATGACTCTCACCAAATGCCGTGAGAGACACTGTTTCACCCAGGACGAACATGGATTGGGGTCGGGTCACTCTTCGGGGGGGCTTCAATCTCGCTTGCGAATGTGTGGAGCAGGTGGTTCTACCACCTGGTGTCATTCTACAAACAAGTTGGCAGACATGGCGGAACCAACAAGTCAATATCGCGGTACTGGGGATTCAAAGAGGGTTCGTTCGACTCTCGAGGCACGGCCTGCTCTTCATTGCGGATGAAGTGCAGAGTGGGTCGGGAACTCGGCCTTGACAGCCTTGGCATTGCACCAGTACCTCGCGGGCGTCCAGGTGGTGGATGAAATTCCCTCCAACAATCATGGAAGTTGACCGGAGGGTTTTGGAAGGTGACTTTTCTTTGAGGGGCAGCCCTTGGTCGACTTCTATGAGTGTTGGAAAGCGGGCACATGCAAAGAGTTGCCAGGACGATCATTTGAAACCCGATGCGTCAGCATGAGGTTGCCTGCTCGCCAGTTTTAAAATGGGAGTCCTTCGCGTGGGGGAGTTGCTACGTCTGGGGGTTGTGACACGGATGGCAGACTCCTGTGGCTTCAATGCCGCGTTGGACACCGTGTCTCACAAACAGCTTGGAAGAAGCCAACCGTAAATCTTGTGTCTCCAGAATTGTGTAAATTACTTACTGGGCCTCAGCAGGGAATGAGTTGAAATGACCCCTGTAAACCGCAACTCTATGGTCTTCTTGAAGGGAATCCGGTTCATTCCTGATACCCGGAAGGTCTTGGGGCATTCCCTTCCTCTCGCACCAGGCATGCGTATTGCTCCCAGGTTCGGGCGCACGGGCAGCTGGTTCGCAGTGGATCACGACGATGCCTGGGACTGAAGGGGGGGGCGTCCTGGGAGCCCAGAGGTCCGATTCAATCAGCACGACCTGTGACACCTGTGGCCTTGTTTTCCATAAATCTTCTGTTTGGTTCCCGTTTTCTTTTGTTTGCTTCCGGTTTGGTTTTTTTTGGTCCCCTTTTGGTTTTGCTAGTTCCCTTTAAAGTCAAGCAAACAAAAGGGTGTCAATTTTTTATCCCCCAAGGACCCCAATTTTCTGGGTTCCTCCGGCCTGGCCTTCGGAGGATCCCAAACGTGGCCCAAACGAGAATTTCCGGTTGGTGGAATTTCCGTGTGGGTGTATTTTTTGAGGATACCCTTTTTGAGGGTGGCTTTCAAGGGAACAACTTTTACTTTTTTTCGGTTTTGGGGGTGGGGGGGTTCTCCCCAAAGAAAGACACACCCATGTAAAATTTGAAATCTAGCTGCTAGCTGTCCCAACGGGGTTCGGCAACACTTTGTGGTGATCTTGCGCCAAAATTGGCCGGTTTTCTCCAAACGGGGTGTTTCACATTGACGCCCGCGGAGAAGTTAGAACTCCGCAGGTCTCGCCGGACATCCTGGTCTTTGCCAAGGGCGCGCCTGCCCAAAGTTGTTTGTTTGCCTGAATGTCTCAGCCCTTTTCGAAATTTTGCTGACATTTGGGGCTGTGTTTTTTTGAGGGTCTTTCAGGGGTTGGAAACCACGGGGAAACTACCGAGATTTCACCTCCACCGGTCCAAGAAAAAGGTGCTGCATTTCCTGCCGAGTGCGATCTGGCTCTGATTTGTAAGAGGCCCTCGGCTATGGGCTGATGTCACCAAAGGGTACCCCAGCGAGCCCAAATGTCATAAGAGGCTTTCGGAGAGGCAGCAAAGGGACATGTGAAACTTTTCTTCCCCCTGATTGGCTGGTTTTCTGGAAAGAAGGAACCCTGGATTCAGAATGGAGAAGCTACCCCGAGAATTGCAGGGCGGTTCCCTTTTGCACTTGTTTCTTTTTTAGGGGGGCGAAAGGGCAATGGGGTCCCGTTTTGAATCCCTCCGACACCCGCAAAAACCACTAACTCATACTCATCTCCCCTTCCGCGATAGCCTGTACTCTCCCTCAGATCACTCCCCTGGTTACGTACATGGAATCGCCGGGATCGTTTGAGAACACGGGCGGACACCAAGAATGGGGGCAGTTACAGATTGTTTTTTGGGCGGGGGTGGAAGTGTGTCATCACTTTCACCCAGCTGTAGGCAAACACCCGCATGGTCGAACCGCAATGAAAGACCTTACTTAATGTGTAAATTCTATTAAAGGTGTGGGTCTAAGATTTTAGAACAGGCAAACCTCAACCACAAAACATAGTGTACTTGGGCGGGTCTCAAAATGCGCCATACACCTATTGGGTCTAGTTATCCCCTTTACCCACACCTTAGCTTTGGTAGTCCTTGGGGTCATATTCTAAATGGTCACTTCCAAATCGCTGGGGGCTACATTGAGTATGGATTTGGTTCTTGTTGTATCAACTATCCAAGGGTTGTACACCCTACTTCACCAAGAACATTCTGGGGTGGTTTCGGGTACCCTTGTTGGTGTTCTATGATTCGGGAAACCAAGAGGAAAACCGAAGCCATCTTGGGGTCTCCTACAAAAAGACTGAAGCCATCTTGGGGTCCGCTACAAAAAGGAACACCCTTGTCCCACACCTGGGTGTATATTGCTTTGAGGGGACCCCGAAAATGGCTTCGGTTTTCCTTTTGATTTCCCTTTGCAACAAAGGCGTGGCCTCCGGCTTGCCACTGGCGGGCCTCGCAGCGCGGAGGCGCGGGTGAGGGATATGAGGTGGGTGTCCGTGGGGTTTCCCGCAAAAAGGAAAGCCATTCGGAAAAGAGACACCGACTGTGAGACAAACCTCTCTCTCTCTCTCTCTCTCTCTCTCTCTCTCTCTCTCTCTCTCTGGGCCCTGCTTGCGGCACTCAGGTCTCGACCCTCCTTGGAGCCGTACCTCCCATTGCAGTGATCCGTTGCGTTCGAACAAGTGAGGCCTCACGAAAAGGCAGCCCCAGCCATGGGGCGACCAGAGTCGGTGCCCTGTTTTGCAAAGGTCCAGTTTTTGTGTTGTCCTTTTATCGCATTGTTTATTCAGGCCGGTTTCGGAATGATGTCCATTTCGGGTCCTGGAACCCCTGGACCCGTTTTGCGCTTCATGGATCTTCAAAGGAACGTGGTCCTTCTGCCACAAGGAAGGCGCAAAGATAGGTCCGGGTCCACTTTCGGATCGAAACCGGCAGGGAGCTCACAGCGTTGCAGCCTCCAGGAAGCCAAGGAGGCGCGAAGTGGAAGCGATGTTCTTCGCTGAACGTCTCCGGCGCCCTTGTCTCAGTTGCCCAAAGCGATTCGACTTTTTCACCTGTTGGTTTCTCCTCTTTGGAAGCCGTTTTTTCGCCATGGCGCCAAAAGATTAACCTTCTTGGGAGTTGTAGGTCCGTTCGATCGCCAAGCTGCGTTCTCTTTTTTTTTCCACACACGATTTACCCTAAAACTGTCACGCTTGGGAGAAAGGAAGCAACTGTCGATCCGATCGGTGACGCTACCTCGTTTCAGTGGGGTGAGAATAAATCCTTTGCATACCTTTCCCATACAACCAAAGGTCCATGGGTGAAACCGGCGCGCATTTGTTTATAGGCCGCCTGGGGTTCAGGATGTGGGAAGCTGCATATTTCTGAGCAACGGTGCCGGTCAGGTTTGGCAACTTCCAGCCCAAAGCAACCACCTAGACGAAAGGGGGATGCCACCTTGGCCCTTTTGAGGATTCCCTTCAAAACCACCCATCGGATCGCCAGTTGCTGTTTCGTCCCATCAGCTGTGAGTGCCTGTTTTCCAGGGACAAGTCACAAACACATACCATCACCACGAAAAACAAAGCACCAGGCATCTAGAAAACGGTTTGGATACGCTTTTTGTAGAATTCCCTGGTTGGTCCTTGTGTCGTAGTCTTTTCGTACTCTTTGGAATCCTAGAGGGTCCGCAAAAGCCACATCCGCGACGTTTTCTAGACAGCAGGTTATGAGCAAATCCCTTCCAAAGACTTAGCTCCCTTTTTTTTGGGGGCTTTTTTGGGGTCGCCTTTCTTTTCCACTCACTGGGCCAAAAATATAGTTTTTTGCTGGGGTGCTAAGTCCAGCCAAGATCCGTGCACAGCAGTCAGTGGCAGGCACCTATGCGGGGAACGTGGTGGCCTGCGCTGCGGCGAATGCCACGTTCCGCCGGGCATGCTTTGACTTCCCGTGCGGTGGATTGAAGACTTATTAGATGCAAGGTTTTAACAGCCCAACAGCCCAACAACCCAACAATGCCTCGTTGGACACCGTATCTCACAAACAGTTTGGAAGACGCCACTTCAAGCTTTGTTTCTGAATAGCTTGTAGCTTGCTTGCTGGTGCGATGGGCAGAGAATGAGTTGGAATGACCCAAGAAAAACCATCCCCTATGGTTTCCTTCAAGGTCATTCCCTGCTGAGCACCAGCAAGAGAGCCACGCTGAAGCCAGTGGAGCTTATTTCTGTGCAAACTGACCTAAGGACACTGGACAAAACCCACTTAGGTGGCTTGGTTGGAAACCCGCACTTCGCAGGTGGCACCAAATTATGTAGATGGGATAGAAGCACCAAACCCTGGCGCAAATTGGATTTTTAGCCATCCACAGTATCACTGGCGTACAACCGCTTCAGCCGTCAGCATGGTGTTCAGGCCCCTTGTGAACTTTATTAAAGTGCTCCGACTGATTCTTTATCTTGCCTGAATATATATATATATATACTGAGTTTGTCTCAACACGGGACCCCAAAAGGCTTGGCTTGCTGTTGGTCTCCCCTTGAATCACAGCCATAGGGGCTCGTCAAAGGGATCCTAGTGCCGCTGCAGGAGCCGCCCTTTCAAAAGGGGTACCAAAGAAAGGGCCCATTTTGTTTGACACCACCAACACAAAAAAATACCTGGGCGTGTCCAATTTGCCTGAGGTTTTTTGTTGGACGCCTAGCTTGGCCCCTCCTGGTTGTAACGCACTGGATGCGAAACGATTCATTTTCTTTCAGTTCGCATCGATTCATATTCTTTGGCATTGAAACTGTTTCGGAGCGAAACGGTGCGGTTCGCTGCTAGAGTTGCTTCTCGTGGTTTTGCCTGGGGTTTTCCGCCGCGTGGCATGGGTCCCAGCGCCATGGCCGGCGCCCTGGCCGCGCCGCCCGGCCAGGCTGGAGGTGATGAGCGGCTCGGGCTTCATGTCGGCCGTGGAGGCCCGCGGCGCGCAGCTGCCGGGCGGCCAAAACCGGGCAAGAATGGAAGACGTCTGGGTGGGTGGGAGGGAAATTCAAGAGGGAGACTCGGGCCAGATGTCGGTGGGTGTTTGTTTTTTTTATCCCTGCTTTCCAAGATTTGAATCAAATCATGAATGGTTTTTGTCTGGGAGGGTTTGCCTTTAAAGCCAACCAGGGTGCCGAGTCCTTGCTGGAAAGGTTACGGGACGCCTTGGAGCCCAGAAAGCCGACAATGACCTAGCACCGATGTCCGAGAGTGTTTTTTTTTGGGAGTTCAGCTCGGCGCGTGTTGCTGGTTAGGTTTGCCGATTTTGCGCAGGAGGGCAACTAGCTATGGACATTGGAGCCTTCTTAACTTCCCTTGTCTGGCAAGCTAAAGAGCCGGTTAGATGAAGGGTAGTAAGGGACAGGTTCAGCCGGAAATAGTTGCGGGATTCCACCCTCCAAATTAATTATTTACATGGTTCTGGGTCGAAGAGTTTACCAGGTTTTGTTTATGACTTAGCATACGCCACGGTACAGTTAGCACACGTTTGGCAATTTCAACAATGAAATGGGCGGCTCACACTGGGGATTCTTTTACTTGATTTTCAGGGACGCCAAAGGAAAGCACCCATTGTAGGGTCCTCTTTGTTTCCTATTCCTGGCTCTCCAAGAA